ACTCACTTGTCTTTCTCGGTGCCGAAGATGGAGGCCAAGTACTCCGCCATTTCCCACCCGCCGCCGCCGCCGCCACTGCTGCCGACGCCGCCGACCCTGCCCGACGCCCGCGGGAGACGTCACCCGGACGCGACGACGCTCGCCCCGCCCCTACGGCGTGGCGGCGCTGCCCAATCGGGCGAGCCGTTGCCTGCGCGTGGGCGGGGCTTGGCGCGAGGGAGGCACCGCCCCCTCGGCCCCGGGAGCCCGCGCGCCGCCCGCCGGCGCCCCCTGATGGTGCCTGCGCTCCTCGCGCGGTGGGCTCAGCGTCCCCTTTGCCGGGGACCCCGCGCTCTTCGCTGTCGCCCCCTTCCCCGTCCGAGGCCCGTCGCCCCTACCCCTCGCTCTCCTCGCGCTCGGCCCCTCGGCTCCCCGGCCCCGGGAAGCCGAGCGCGCTGGCGGCGGCCGGAGAGAAAGCCGCGGGGCCGGAGCCGGGGCGTGCCTGACCGCGTGGGCGGGTTCCGCTGAGCCCGGGAAGTGCAGGCGCGCTCCCTGCCCGCACTTTGCCCTCGGTGACGACCCCTCCTCTCCCGCCCTCGCTGGCCGGGATGGAGCTGGAGGGGCGCCGCGCTGGGGCCTGGCCCGGGGAGAGCCGGGCGGGTGCGCAGAGGACCGGGCGCCCGTGGGAGTGCGGTGGGGTGGGGGACGAGAGCTCGCGGAAGTCCTGGAGACCGCGGAGGGATGCGGCACCAGGCAACGCGGGGACGGGGCCCAGCCTCACTGTCCCCGAGCGCCAGGCCTCAGACCTAGGGACGCTGGGTCCCTCCCGCGGAGCCAGTCGTTTCCAGTTTTGTTAGTTCATTCTTTTCTAATACAAGAAGATGCGTATGTATATTTGTGGTCCCTCCTTCCATATCCACGCTTTTCTCCACCTTGTCTTTTTTCACTAACCAACCATCCTGGGAGATCGCTCAGTAGGAACACGTGGGCATAGTCCTCACTGCTTTTGCAGCTGCTGGGAGCTCCACTGTGTGGATGGTGACTCGCTCTATCAACCTGTTGACAATGGACTTGTGGGTTGTTTGCAGGCTCTGTCTTTTGCTAGCGCAGGCCTGCCACAAAGAGCCTCCTGCATGCGCCTTTTGTATCTAGGGCAAATGCACTGTTTGGCAATCTCAGAGCTTTCATATATTTTTTTCTTTTTTAGCGCTTATTTATTTTATTTTATTTTTTAAACTTGGTCTTTTTTTTTTTTTAACATTTATTTATTTTTGAGACAGAGAGAGACACAGCATGAATGGGGGAGGGTCAGAGAGAGAGACACAGAATCCGAAATGGGCTCCAGGCTCTGAGCTGTCAGCACAGAGCTGGATATGGGGCTTGAATCCAGGAACCTGAGCGGGAGGTGGATGGTTAACTGACTGAGCCACCCGAGCGCCCCAGAGCTTACATAATTAAACAGATGAAGTAATACAAATTTTGTTCCCAGATGGGGACTGTGCAAAAATGAGTTAACTGTGGCAGAAATGCTTAACGTTTTGGGGGTCTCCCGCGTGTTCAAATTTGATAAGAACACATTTGAGAGTGGGGTGCATGTGAAGATACGAGAATCAGATGCTTGTGTACCCCAAATGCAGTTGCATGGAGCCCTGGGTTTCCTTTGCGTACAATTTGAGAACTGCTGTTTAGGTGGTCCGTTGAGGATTATTTATTTTTTTATTTATTTATTATTTTCAAGTATTTATTTTTGAGAGAGAGACAGCCCGAGGGGCAGAGAGAGGGAGACAGAAGATCCGAAGCGGGCTCCTCGCTGACAGCAGAGAGCCTGATGCAAGGTTCAAGTTTACAAATGGTGAGACTATGACCTGAGCCGAAGTCACATGCTTAACCCACCGAGCCACCCAGGTGCCCCCACTGAGGATTTTAAACAGGAGAGCTATGAACATATTTGTACTTTAGAAAGGTCACTCTGCCGTACAGATGACGGTGTTTCCTATCATTGCTGCAACAAACCATTGCAAAGTAAATGGCTTCACACGCCAGCTTACTATCTCACACAGTTCTGTAGTTCAAAAGTCCGGTGGCCCCGGCAAGGCTGAAATCCAGGGGTCCGCCAGGTGGGCTTTATGGAGACTCCAGGAAAGAGTGGTTTGCAGGCTCATTCAGGGTGTTGGTAGGATTCAGGTCCAAGCGGTCTTAGGGTGAGTTTCCTCTTTCCTAGCTTGCTGTCTGTCAGATTCCAGACACTGCCTGTGTTCCTTGCCTCCTGGCGCCCTTCAGGGACAGCCGTTTGAGTCTCTCTCATGCTTTGATCTCTCCTCCTCTGCCTCTAGCCAGAGAAATCTCTGCTTTTAAGGGCTCCAGGTACTAGGCCGGGCCCAGCTGGATGATCCAGGATACTTCCCCTAGTTTCGGGTCTGCGGCCTTAATTACATCAACAGTTTCTTAACTTACTCTTTAGGGGATGAGACTCTTGGAGTGACATTAGAATCCTGCCTGGATTTGAGGGTAATAAGACCAGAGCTGAAGTTAGAGGGGCCGTTGTGTTGGTGAGAAATGAGGAGCCTGAACTGGGGCTGGGGTGGCAGTTCTAGTGGTCAGAGTCCCGGGCTGCAAGATACGGCCGAGGCTGTAATGGACTGAGCTGCGTCCCTCTGAAACTCATATATTGAAGGCTTGACCCCCAGCCGCTCAGACTGTGACTGTATTCGGTGATGGGGCCTTTAAAGAGGTGATAAGGTAAAATGAGGCCATTAGGGTGGGCCCTGATCCATTTTGACTGGTGTCCTTCGAAGAATTTGGGACAGGGATGCCTGGGTGGCTCAGTCGGTTAAGCATCCGACTTCGGCTCAGGTCATGATCTCTTGGTTCGTGAGTTTGAGCCCAGATCGGGCTCTCTGCTGTCAGCACAGAGCCTGCTTCAGAGCCTCCGTCTCTCTCTCTCTCTGCCCCTCCCCTGCTTGCTCTCTCTCTCTCAAAAAAAAAAAAAAAAAAAAGTTGGGACAGAGAGGCACACACAGGTATGACCTTTTGAGGACACAGGGGAAGACCCCATCCACAGTCCCGGGAGAGAGGCCTCAGGAGCAACAATCCCTGCCTTTAGCTTGACCTTGACTCCGGCACTGAGAAAGAATAAATGTGTGTTGTTCAAGCCATATGTTTATGTGTTCAAAAGGGATTTTAAGAGGAAATTGGATAATTCGTCACACTGTTGGGAGTTCTGGGGAGTCCCGCTCTGAGAGCAGACCGCTGCACTGGTCTGGGGAGGAGCCCACTGGCCCTGCTGTGGCTACACTATGGTCCTCCCTCCTATCCCCCTGTGACACCAGAGCTCCATGTGGCTGCACACGGCTGCTTGCTTGAGCGGGGTCTCAACACCTGTGCCTCTGTGTGTTCCTGGCCAGGTGGTTTGTGGGTCAACACACTCATGGCTGGCTCCTTGACTGGCCAAAGGGAGAGTCGGTGCCTATAAAGGCACAAAATGGCTGAGGAGAAACAGATCTGGGGGTAGTTCTGGGCTCTGGGAGATTGCGTTATTCCATCACAGCTTTTCCCTCCTTTTCTGCCTGCCCGTGGTGCCCCACAGGCAGTACATGTTATGACCCATCCACTGCTTTGGGGCTTGGTCCCGTACCTCGCTGTGGCCCACAGAATGTGAGCAGGTGAAAGAAGTCCCTTCTAGAAGAGCAGGCCCCATCGCTTCTCGGCCTTTTGGCTAAGATCAAGTGTAGAAAAGCAGGTCCCAGGCGTCTGCTCCCCTGCAGTCCTGGGCCTGAGTGAAAAGCACAGGGAGTTAGGCCAACCAGACCTGCAGCTGAATCAGCCTCCCCAGCTGCCCTTGCCCACAAGGAGCCAAAGAAGAAGAGACTCGTTTCTGTAAGTCACTGAGGTTATTTAACATCACCGTAGTGCTGCCGACTAATCCAGCAGGAGGGTGAAGGGCCGGGCAGATGTTCAGGTAGAAATGATCAGCAACCACCTGTATACATCAGTAACCTGTTCTGCGAGACAGAATGTTCTGTGATGAAGGAAATGCTTGACATTGGTGCTGTCCAGTGTTGTGACTGCCACTGGCCACATGTGAGCACTTGACATGCATCTGGGAGGATTGAGGTGCTGAATTTTAAATCTTATTAAAAAAAATTTTTTTTAATGTTTCGTTACTTTTGAGAGACAGAGAGAGACAGAGCATGAGTGGGGAAGGAGCAGAGAGAGAGGGAGACACAGAATTGGAAGCAGGCTCCCGGCTCCGAGCTGTCAGCACAGAGCCCAACGCGGGACTCGAACTCATGAACCGTGAGATCGTGACCTGAGCTGAAGTCGGGGCTTAACAGACTGAGCCACCCAGGTGCCC